TCAAGAGCAAATTGGCATTACAGATTTAGAACTTTGAATGTTGTATTAACTAGTATTCATTTTATATTAACTTTTATCAATAATAAAAAGTACAACTAATTTAACAAATCAATGCAATACTTATTCAGATTACTTCTAAGTTACTTAAAAAAATTCAAAAGCATAATCCAATTACTTATTAGAATTGGAATAAAATTTGGACATCTCGTATTTGACACAAATTCTGGTTCCTGCCTTTTAAAATGAAAGCCAAATACATATTTTCTATCATTATAAACAGCATGTATGCATACAAATTATAAATGGTCAAATTTTAAAATTCGTACAAATTAGTACGAAATAATACTGTAGGTCCAAATCGATTCTACCAATTTAATCTTGCTTGAAGTTAAGAGTATAAATTATCGTATGGATAAAAAAAATTGCAATTTTATATATTTATTTTATGATTCTATCTGGTTGCTAGCTCTTCATTTAATATTTTTTGTTTTTCGAATTATAAATCACAAAGACCGCTACGTACAACCAGTTCTTCCTTCCAATAATGATACATCCGAAGATATTACCGTCTTTTCAAAATTACAAAGGTCGATTGATTTGCAAAATATTATTAGATTGTGGATATATATATATATATATATATATATATATATATGTATGTGTGTGTATATATATGTAAATATCGATTATGATCAAACCGACATTTGGATCCATCTATTACTTTTGAACAAAGTTTATTCACATTTAAAAGATTTAAAGAGGAAATTGATTTCATTCATATTCAGAGGTTAATATTAATTAGCAATCAATTAATTGTGATAAATTACATATTTACATAAATATTCCATATATTTTTTAAAAGTAATCGTGTATTGCGTTTGTTCGCCTTAAGGCAAATTTCTGCTACTTCTCTAAAATTTAGTAGACAATTCTCCAAGATCCATTATTTTCATTAATTAAAAAATTATTTCTGACAAAAGTAGTTTATTCTCAGATTTTCTTGGTGATAAGACAAAATGTTGAAATCTGTTGTCTGCACAAAAATCTGAACAATATTGCAACAGCTTTATAATTAATTTAGTTTTTGTTTCAACATTGAAATTTTTATTAAAGCAATAACAATTAAAAATGACATTTGAGCAATGATTAATATTCACGTAAAATTTTTGTTACAATTAATTTATAAATATTCATTTTTACGTTGAGACAAACCGTAGTGTCGAAACGTTTGTAACCTTAGCATAATTTAATAAAATTAGTGCAAAAACGAATGTAGTATGTAATTAATTTTTGCAATTTTGATTTATATAGTTTGTTTTTATATTAAAATTTAACTATATAATACATTCAATTTTTTAATTATTCTAATTATTTCAATCGATAATCTATTTATTTGTTTTTGAACAGCGATCAGAACCTGATAGTGTTATAAGCGTTTGTGCAGAATCAATTTTTGTTAAAAAAATTTATTACACCATATTTTTAATTCTTATCTATAAAATGGATTTGATATAAAAATATATTTATTTTATTTTTTCTTATTTCTATTTTGATTCATTTATTATTTCAAAGAAAATTGTGCAGTACGGTATAGAGACCATCGGTGAAGGTACCTTACTTTAAAACCGGTTCTGTCCAAGAGAACATTAAACCATACAAAACATGTAGGCTTTAATATTTATGTACTTATAATAATAATTAATGTATACCATAAATATTAGAATATAATAATAATTAATATCACATTAAAATTTGTGAATGAAATCGATACACTATTTTATTTTTTATTTTTTATTAAGAGTTGCTCATGAAGACTTTTATTAGGAGATTCGTGCTTTACACAATGATGTTATTCCAATATTTAACATATCCTCATAAACAGATATATCCTAAATTTGGTAAGAACTACTTATTTGGTAATGTGATAACAAGATTATTATAAAGTCGAGACTAATTGTAGATAATTTTGTTACTAGATAGGATTTTTTTTGTTCAGTTTGAATAATCATCAGAATATAGAGAATTTTAGTCTGCTAACAACTACTTTGTGAATGTTGTGTTAATTCGAAATATCCCGAAGTTATTAAATTAACTATCATATATATTGTCAATGAATAATAATCTTGAAAAAGCAACAAAATCTAAAAATTAAAGATATCATCACTTTTTGAAACATTCTGATCATTTTGAAGAGCCTTAGGAAAACGTAGAGTATATATAATAGAGTTTTCTATCTCGATTAAAAAAATAAACTTATTTATTAAAACTGTGGATTTTTTAGATGAAGAATTTTAAGGATTGTTACTGGCTTTTTATATTTAAGATAATTCTACAAATATACATAAACTTTTACTTGTGTAAAAAATTAAAATTATAATTTGAAACTGCATAATTTTTGATAAAAAAATACTAATAACAAACTATTTGACTCGATTATCATCGGGAAATGGTTCTAATAATTTAAAAATGCAAAAAATTTCATATTTTTTATTGTTTGAAATATTAGATTAAAAATTTTGAAATCATAATGCAAAACTATATAACTTTTGCTGAAAATTAAGTTTCTTTCTTCGTTTTTTATAGTAGCTATATATTTGAAATTTTGAAAAATATTTAGATTCAAGCACAAAATTTTGATCCAAAAAAGTAGATTTATTGATGCATGATGGGCTTCAAAATATTCCATAGTCCCATGCATTTTTTCAAAGAGCAATACATCTCTGTATTTTCCTACACATCTTTTATAAATCTCTATTTTTAATATTTACAAAACACAAAGGCATTTCGAAAAAACTTAATTAAATGATGACTTCATATCAATCATAGAACTATTTATTAAATTAATAGTCTGTATTGATCCATAACACATCTAATAATTTACATCATATAATAGGATCATTGCACCGATCCATGGTTTTGAACTTTATCAAGGTTAAACGTGTTTCATAATCCATTCAATTCGATGATGATGTATGTACTTTCTTCTAAACTCATCACGAATGGATAATCAAAGTTTAAAAAAATAAAAAAAACAACGATGAACAGGTGAAAAAAATGATGACGGATGTTGTTTTCGTATATGGGACCAGGTGGGAACTGACTGGGTGAGAAATACTCCAAAACATTTTTTTGACCACATACATTTTTATCTACCATTGTATGTTGGAAATATTGTTCAGCAATTAAACAGAGTTCAGCATTGTTTTATTAATTTTTTATTCAAATTTTATGAAAATTGTTTGCCATATGGGTTCTGCCAGAGTAAAGGAATACTCGTGAATAAATGAGTTTTAATTTATAACTTTATTTTTTTTGGTCTATTTGAAAAAGACAGTAGTTATTATAATTTTGTACGCAAGTAAAAGTTTATGTACATTTGTAAAATAATCCTAAATATAAAAAGCAAGTAATAATTATTAAAATTCTTTATCTAAAAAATCCACAGTTTCACTAAATATGTTTAATTTTTTAAAAGAGGTAGAACCTTATTATTATATATACTCTACGTTTTGCTAAAGCACTTCAAAATGATCAGAATGTTTCAAAAAGTGATTATATCTTTAATTTTTATATTTTGTTGCAATTTCAAGATTATTATTCTTTGACAATATATATGATAGTTAATTTAATAACCTCAGAATATTTCAAAATAACACAACTTTCACAAAGTAGTTTTTAGCAGACTAAAATTCTTGATATTCCCATCATTATTCAAACCGATCAAAAGAAATCCTATCTAGTACTAAAATTATTTTCAATCTGCCATCTATATTATTATTAATAATAAATAAACTAATTCTTCTCTATATTTTGTAACTGAGTTTTCGTGCAGAGAAGCCATTGCAATGTAACCAGGTATATATTTTATCCTTTGGAAATAAGTAGGTTAATGGAGTATGTACGATATATATATTGATTTCCACAAACCGTGTCACGATGTTGCATTATTTAATCGTTATTCGCGATTTATGGCTGCATTGAGGAAAAAGGGACACAATTTAATAGAATATATAATAGAATATACATTAAACATCAAATACATGATAAAAGATTACTAATTAACTAATTGGGTGGCTTCTAGTAATATAGCCACTCCTAAGTTTAGGCTCTGATTACCATTAAGGGTGTAAAAATCTGATTTCCATAAAAATAGAGACAAAAAAATCTACTCTATTACAAGAAAATTAGTGTTTCTTTTAATAAAGTTTGTTAAAAAATAATTTTTAATATCAAACGTTCTTTTCCAATGAATGAAGGGTAGAATGTTAGCCAAAACGTAACGATATCAAATAAATTTTTAAACAATTTATACAGTTTTTCTTGCATAATTACCTCAACTCATCAATAATTTTCTATATAATATATAGATATATAATAATCCAAAAAAACTTGTTCTGTATTTTTTTAGATTCTAACAAATAGCCATGAAGAAATGTTCACTTGGCACTAATATTAATTTTGTATTTCTCACATCCTCATTAAATATAAATGCATGGTAATTATGGAGTTGCTAATTATTGCTATTAGCATTTTAGTATTTGATAATTATCTTGGTAATATTGAAAATTAAGTTGTTTTTCAAAAAACAGAAGCAGTTGTTAAATGAAACTATATGGATTTTCCCAAAGAGTTAATTCAAGGAGAAATTACATTTGAAACAGCATTCAAATTTGCTTCACCCATTACCCATTTTTTTTTATTTCCAAATAATTTGATGTATATTATCCATAACTGTACAGAGTCTATTATTCCAGTAAAATTCACACATTAAAATTCCATATAAAACATTATTTGAATAATTTTGAGAAACATTAAATATTCAACCTAATGTTTATATGAGCAATTAAATTAGAATTAAAATAATTATGTTGACACCGCAAAGAAAAGAATTCTCACGGTACTGTTAGATACAAAAATGCGTTGAATTTTTATACATCATTAGGCTTGAAATATACATTTTAGTTTTCATAATTTTTATTTGAAATATATCCTTCTCCTACCCTGTGTGGTGCGCCCAAAAGTCTCAGCAATGTGCCCATCTGATTTGCTAAAGGCAGGTCCGCACTAAATGCATGTCTAGGAGCCCTTGAAGGTTCCGGGTGCCCGTGAATAGCACAACCATCGAAAGGATCACCGTCCAATAAATATTGGACGCGACAGACGATGACATCC